CTCCTACTACTACTACGACTCCTCCTCCTCCTCCTCCTCCTCCTCCTACTACTACTACTACTACTACTGCTACTGCTACCACCCACTACGACTACTACTCCTACCTACTACTAGTACTACTACTACTACTACTACTACTACTACTACTACTACGACGACTACTACGACTACTACTACTACTACTACTACTACTACGACTGCTACCACCCGCTACGACTACTACTACTACTACTACTAACTACTAATACTACTACTACTACTACGGCTGCCACTGCGACTACCACTACCAGTACGACTTCGACGACGCTGTCGCGAACGGCGACCACGAATGCGGCTGCGGCCTCGGCTGCGGCTACGTCTGCGTCTACGTGCGCGACTGCGGCTGATACGACTGCGACTGCGACTGCGACTGCGACTGCGACTACTACTACGACAACAGCAACAACAACAACAACATCTACTACTACTACTACTACTACTACTACTACTACTACTCCTGCTGCTGCTGCTACTACTACTACTACTACTACTACTGCCACCGCGATAGAATACAGTTTTATGCTTCTTCTGATTGCGTTGTGCAACCATTCAAAGGCACTTCAAGCAAGCGCAGCAATTTCAGCTCCAAGTCCTCGCCCATCATGTTCTGAGGAAGGCATATTCCCCCACGGTGGCAAGACGAGGGCCAGCTACCACTTCTGGCAGCTGTGCTGGGGGTCGGTGGGGTTTTAGGCCGTTGGTGTACAGCACATCCTTTCCAGCTCAAGCTTGTATTGCAGCAACGGTTAGGTCTACCTGAGCCATCGTGTGCAGCCCTGGCCACGGTTGAGGCAAAGGTTCTCCCATGTGTAAGAGCATGCATACCAAAGACCCTGGCTTCTGGACTTCTAGTCACGGTGCCCATAAGGCTCATAATCCAATGTATTCCCTTGTGGAAATGTGTGACAATCTGAAAGTTTACATCCCATGTCACACGCTCTGGGCCGAGGTATTCCCTGTTGCTCGGCAGCAGTCGGGTCGTTTGCATATGACAACGGAGTTCCAGAAGCGTCAGAGGCGGTTATGACCCAGCAGCTAGCAACATTGGGACCGGTCATCTTGTCCTTGGTTGCCGAAGACCTTCGCCAAATCTGGAAGCCTATTACCTGAATGTTCCGTGCTTCTATTTCGTACTCCAGTGGCTGCCTGACGCCAAGGAATGGCAAAGACTGGGGAGCGACGTCCAGCTTAACCGTCGAGATGCAGAAGCTAATGAAGAAAGAGCCTGTCAAGCAGAAACACCAGCCGCAGGCACGACAAAGTCTGTCTAACCTGTTGGACACCAACATCTGGAGATTGTGTGCTCTATCTAGTGCATTGGTAGGAAGCCGTACATCCCCAGTGCATCTTCCACTACAGGGTGCTGGCCCTCTGATCAATACTCTCCTATCCCAGGCCCGGTAATCCTCAGGGGTCTTGGGGCCCTAGATCCTGCACCCGGATTCCTCAGCTCTCATGAACAGCAAGGAGCCTCGGAAAACTTTAACCTAAAAAAAGGGCTCAAGTTGAGGAAACCAAGGCTTCACTTACCACGACTTCTTTTCACCAAGAATTTCCAACTACATCTTGCCCGGTTCTAGTCTCTGCAGCACGGGGTGTGGATATGCAGATCGCCATTATGCTGATGAGAATACCGAATCACAAGGAACTTGTGTAGTATTTTAGTATATAGTGGTGGCAGTCGCGGCGGTGGCGGTGCCGGTGCTGGTCTTTACACGAAGCAGCACCAGCAGTGTTGATCAGCTCACTGGGTCCAGCTCGGCAGGCGAGGACGTTCGCCAGGGTGCGAACCCGAACTATCAAAGTGCTCGATGTTCCACTCGCAGAGATGGCGGAGGACAGACAGACTTCGGGAACCGAGGGTCTTCTGGCAAGCGGTCCAGTCTGGGTCGAGGGAGCTTCAGGTCCGAAGTCAGAGTTTCAGTGCAAGCCCGTCACCGTAATTTGGAACTAATTATTACAGCGCGGGTGCATCAGCGAAGTGTGGATGGTACGAGAGTCGGTCAGAGCAGAAGAGTCGCAAGCAGCTCAGGCGTCACAGAAAACATTCGCCGTCGTCATCATCTTCGTCTTCATCATCACCATCACCGTGACCACCACCATCAGCATCATCACCATCACGAACTTCGGCACTTCTGTCCCCATCATATATGCTATCAGCGACAATACCAGCAGTGCAGCAATAATTGGCGCCCCCGTTTCAGCGATGAAGTCGAAGGCTGCTGATGATCGTGACGATGATGATGATGACGACGATGATGATGATCAGGATGGTGCCAACGAGAGTCTCTTGCTTGGAAGTATCTGTACTGGCATCAACATCAGAGTCATAGCACGTTAACACCAAGCATAGAGCCCGAAGCTGCACCCGCAAAAACCACAATGGCTTGACTAGCGCCTGGCTGCCATCGTACAAGCAGGAGCACTGGTGTCAGCATTCGTACTCACACTGGTGATGTTTTTGAAGTCAAGATCTACAGAAATCCTTGCTGCGTAGACTTTCGTTTTATCGTACCTGTGGAGGATGTCAGGATCACAAAGCGAGAGCGCCTGGAGCTAGCAACGATGCTTGGCAAGAGGGAGGGGGTGATAGCGTCGGGACCCTCATCGTCACCACACTCACTTTGTTCACGTTCGCGGTGTAGCTTTGGATTTTTCGTGGTGTAGAGCAACGGCTGCCCAAAGAGCATTTGCTGCAGGAGCATGCAGAGCATGTTGCCTTTGTTGCTTTCGTGCGCTAGTTGTTGTTGGTGCTGATATGATTAGTTGATTAAGGCCGCGATACCAGTGCAGCTCCCTCTCATCTGGGGGAACCGATGTTGACACATCCTCCAACCAGCCAGGACAGTTCAAGAGATCAAGCACTTGAAGACAACGTGCAGCGAAACACGTAGTGAGTAGCATAGTAAAGCCAACCCTGCTGTCACATGATGAGTAAGTCGTGAAACCAGGCTTCGGAGAAGGTTTGAAGTCGAAGGCTGGGCCGGTCCAGTGCCAGACCCTCCAAATCAAATTGCGACCTGTGACTCTCTAAGCTCTGAGTGCAAGGAATCTGATGAAAGATTTCTGGGAGGCTGCAGGATCAGCGAACCTTGGCAGGGGTCTAACGGGCAACTCACAGGCCGGACCTTGTCATGTAGGTACCTGGTCCAACATGGTAGGATATACAACATGAAGCAAATATATGTGTGCAGATATCTAAATAAATACCTACAATCTATGTCCATGTCCATGTCTACTTGTGTGTCTTTGTCTGTCTCCATATACGTGTTTATGCTATGTGCCCTTGCAACTGTACTGGTGCACTACCACAAGATCTCGGAACCGCCCTTGAACAAAAGCCTTGGGAGCAACCACGGCATTTCAGGGTCCATTCAAGGTTCAGGAGACAGCGACAGGGGACCCTGCAAGACTAAACATATCTCAAAGACGCTCCTGTGGTGCAAGCCTAAACCCTAAACCGAGGATCGAGAAGTATCTCTCGGAGCATGGAAGGAAACCGAAAAAGTGGAAGAAGCACATTTCACGCAACTGGCCTCAAGTGCAATGAGTTTAGATGTTAGATGGGGTTCCTTACAAGCAGGCGTATCTAGCTCAATTATCTTCGTACGGGCCAATGACCAAAGTCACTGTACTTCCTGAAACTCCCATAAACGGGTTGGGGCAATTGTGAAGATTTTGGACCCAGCATCGGATTCCAGACCAGTTTTGACAACAGCCAACGTGCTACGCCCGGTCCCTGACCCAGAATATGGCTAGGCTAGTTGAGGTTGCGGGTTTCGCCAGGGTCATGATGCCATCAGCCTGGAGACATGTGTGTAGTTGTCAAAATTAGGGTCCCTTTTGGGGTACCCTAAATAATAGGTGCCGTATTATAATAAGGTCAGAACCACCCATGTCTAAATTTCCGACAACGGGATGCAGGTGACAAAAATCGTATGCTAGGACCCGGCTTGTCTGAGGCGTCCGGACGGAGATGAAGAGTCGCCTGCAAGAGCAGGTCGCTTCGGGTGAGCCGATCCGCTGCGCCTAATGCTGAGACAAGCACTGCACATCAGGTCATGATGTATTTCTGTCGTACCACATCACGGGACAGAGCATGAATGCATGCCTATGCGCATACGGCACGGTTTCATGTCGTTGCATGACATGATGTAACATGACACGATGTGCTGACGTTGAAGATACATGACCGGACATCTGACCTGGCCCTGCTGTTCAACGTTAGACGCTCTGCTTGACAAGACAGGTCAAGAAGAAGGGGTTCCTCTATCCCAGGGGGCTGCTGAAGCATGAGGCAGCGGGGATCACGGGTTTCTGGCCCTGAAGAGTGTTCTTTGCAGCTTTGCTTCGCCCCCGTGACTTTACCCGAGGGCGCTGGCTGTCTTTCCCAAACTTTTCCGTGTTTCAGTTCGTGGTGCAGCCTTGTTTGCAAAGCTTGGGTTGCGAGTTCCCGTTTATTGTCTGCATCTTGGGCAGTGTTCCGCGGCCAGGTCAGAGTTCCTGAGCTCCTGTTGTCCCATGTGCAGCTGGCATTCCCTCAGGAGTCCGCGTGACAACATTGGCATGGACGCACCAGTGGCCTTTCGTGGTTGCTTGCAGCTAGACTGCAATGAGCCGTCCTGGGGCCACCCCACGTTCAATGCTGCCAGGCAGGCCCTTTAGGTACTTTGCGTCCTCCCTTGCCTGATGGTGTTGCAGACCTGGCAATTGATATGCAATTAGCTCGATCTCGGAATCCACGCACTACTGGTACCTACCGGTGTTGCTGTAGTGTTTGTTCGGCCGTCAGGCAGAACTGCTCGTGTTTTTGACCTGCGGAGTGCCAGACAACGCGTGATAACCAATCTGAGTCGGACCATGATCTTGTGGTCCGACAGGTCGCAGACGGCACTTTGCCCGTGATGTTGGTGTTCTTTTTATTATCACGCATAGCATTATTACTCCTCATCTTGGCCTTCGTGCTCGTTCTGTGAGAGGCCTTGCTAGCTTGATTATTGGAAATTATTGGAAATTAGCACACGCTTGAGGTGTCAAGTCCTAGAAATCTCGGCGTTTGTCTCAGGCCCAGCCGAAGAATCGAAGCTCGCGTGACCACGAGCTTCTGGAGTTTTGAGCTCAGGGGCGTGCAGGTGGCCAGGAAAGCCGGGCTAGACAGGAAACTGAAAGCTAAAGTGAAGGGCAACTTCAGTCTTCAGGGAGTCAACTTGTCCTGGCGAGGGTTGCAGGCATCCTTTTGTTTCAGGTTTCTTGGCTTAGATGTGCTGTCCATGCGTAATGCCAGGTCCAGATTTCCCATAGCATTGCACGGAGAGTGCCAGCAGTCACCGGGACGTGTTCGTTGGGGGTCGTCTCGTCCTGAGCATAACTCCCATGAGGCTCGATCCCCCTTGCACGCCCTTGGCGACCAGAGTTAACGGCACTGCGGCACTGTGCGAGTTGCTGTGCCTCCGTCTTTTAACTCTACTCAGAAGTTCATGGGTAGTCATTCTGGGTGCAGTCATTTATATGTACCTCTATCAGGGCTACAAGATCATCTACTATCTGCGACGTCTGAGAACTTCCCTGTCTCGGGTGTGCCCCGTTGGCGGATATCGAGCAGTGCCTAAAAAGCAGGACGGCTTGGGCTGAAGGTTGAGGGGTCTTCAGCTTAGGGATTGGAGTTCATGGGTGGGGCTGAGGCTCAGGGTTGAGGTCGGTCTGAGTTTTTGGTGTTCTCGGATCCTCCGGGCAGCATGAAGCGAGTAGTTGCTCCAGGGAACTTAATTACTGTCCGAGCTTTGGCTTGTCGTGGATCGGACTTTGTTTCGGTAGTTCATTTCAGGGCCTCGTGCCCCCCATGTGGACTCCTCGACAGCTCTTTTGCAGAGGTCGTCGATTTTAGGTAGCCTTCTCTTGCGATTCAGTTGCAGCCTGTCTTGGCTCAGCAAACTCCGGAGTCAGCCCCGTCGGGTTTGCGGGCCAGACACGACCCTGAAGCCTCCACGCCATGAACGTGCAGGCTTCGCTTCCTTCAAGGCCCGAACCCTTTCTGCGATCTGTGGCGCCAGCTTCTGCTTCTATTTCCCTGCCTCCTCCGGTCTCATCACATTCGTCATGCCTTCCCCTGGTGGCAACAAGCAGCGACTGCCGCAGACTCCCAACTCTGATGTCCGCAGTGTTGTCGCCAACCTGAACCTATAGATAGGACCACTTCCAGGCCTGTTTAAATTTGTGCACCAGTCCGGAACAATGTCTGAACCACTTGCGCCATCATGAATCAACAGGGCTTCTGACTTCAAAGCCTGAAGCCTCCATGTGCGAAGCGTATCATGACATGCACAAGACTGTGTGGTAATGAAATACTTATCATGTCGTTCTCGTGACTTGTTGCTTCCTTCGACATTCCTTCGACACCTTTGTTCGGTGAGCCCTTTTGCTGGCGGCAGAACCTCGTTAAGCTGAATGAATGTGACCCCAGCCAGTTCTTGCTGCTAATGTTGGTGGTAGTGGTGGTTCTGCTGCTTTCGTTGTGTTGTGTTTTTTTTTTTTTTGTGTGTTCCTTCTCTTCTGTCCCGTTCTGTTGTGTTGTTGCTGCGCTGCACTGCGCTGCGCTGCACCGTGCTCTTTTGGACTGGGGCTGCCTTCACTGTCCCAGTCATACATACCG